TAGTACGTACTAGTTAAGTTTAAGTTACGTACACGAAGTAAGTAAGTACTCGTTAGTTAATTACTTACTCGTACTTATTACTTAATAACTACTCTCTCTCTCTCTCTCTCTCTCTCTCTCTCTCTGTTTTGCTGAAGGTGTGGATATCTTCTTTTTTTAAGGATATTTCGTGCTCAACCGAAGCCTTGAAGGACCTCCAGGGAGTGTTATTGCTATCTTCCGATCGAGGCGGCATGCATGTGGAGTATCCTGTGCCATGCTACTGCATTCATGTTTCTATTATGCAATACTATGAATGCATCCCTGGTTTCCAAAGTAAACATTATACAGAATGCCATTAGTTTCAACGTTTAACATATTCTGTCTACTGCTTAGTGTAGAAAATTGAAACTACCCTAATTTTCTTAGAAAAGGAACTAGGAAATCTGTTTTAATCTCTCTCTCTGTGAGAGTGGGACTTGGTACTTGATAATATTTCAGAACTAGTCTTTTTTTTGGTTTAATTATTTTTATTAGATTTTGAATATGTTGGCTTCAATTGTTCTTTCTTCTTTGATGCTTCCAAGGTGCCATTTTTTTGTTTGCGATAGCTGTTTTCTCTTGACCAAGCTTTCAGATATGCAAAATCAAAGATGCGGAGACCTCAGGAAAAGAAATGAGAGTAGCACAGATTATATCAGCATAATAATCCAAGGACCTGACATGACTTCTATAATATCGGGCAACATCCTCTCTCTCTCTCTCTCTATTTATTTTGGATTCTTTGTTAGAAACTAGAGATCATGGTGTTCATGAGTTCGGAATATACGAGAGCATACTGGCATTTCTGATGCTGAAGATTTCATGTTTATGCTTGTAACAGATTCTAGAAAGTTGTATGGCATGAGGTTCTGCTTCGATAAGGAGATTATATGGATCTCAATTAAATTGAAAATATGTGGTTTGTCTTGATTCCGAGCTAATAAATTGCCAACTAAACTTTACTAGAAGAAGAAACCCATTACTCCAGTATGGAATCGGTTTTTGGAAATTATTTGCTCCTGCCTGAACATCTGTACTTTTCCAGTCATGTCTTAAATGAAATCTTTTCCTCCTCTCTGAATGTGGTAGGCTCGCTTTTTCTCTCTGCCCGTAGTAGGTCTCTCTTTTTCTCTCTCTCTCTCTTACTGCATATAGTAGGTCTCTCTCTCACACACAATCGCCAACTAGGTTTGTGACTTTGCTTGTAGAGAGGTAATTAACATAATCGGCTAAAAATCGGAGAATATTCTTAGAACTTTGTTGGTAAAAATGACAAATCTTTGAGCACCTGGTTATGGGTGGTTGCCGGTCTCCATCTCTCTCAGAATCGCCAACGGGTTTTGCGACTTTGCTTTTAGAGAGATGATTAACATAATTGGCTTCTAACTTTGTTGATCAGAATGACAAATCTTTAAAGCACATGGTCAGGGGTGGTTGCCAACTACTTAATGGTGATTGTTACCTTACCCCAAACCCTAGAACTCGCCCAAGTATTTTTCGGACATAAAATACCATGATTGCGTAGTTGTGAACAAGGTGAGGCTTTCATTAGTTATTAGAGGCCATATCCAGAAATTAAAGCAAAATGTTTAAAGTCGGTGTTATTAAAATATAAGAAATGTCTGTAATAATCCTTTTTATCGTTTGACGGTATTTAAAAAATGTCTCCTAATTTTTACCTTTGAGCGTGTATGCTTCGGTGGGTGCATGATGTATATTAAGTCCCTCGTGCAAAAAAGATATTTTGGAAGATTTTTTATTTAAGTTTTTGGGATATCACTAAGAATAATTAGATGATTAGTTTTAAATGAAGTGGATTTTCAGTTCTTCAACACCTAGGACTTGCCCTATGGAGATTGGTGTCCCTTGCTCATTTTAGGGACACCTCCCCAATCGAACTAGGCCCTTGCTCATTTTAGGGACACATCCCCAATCGAACTATCGCCTCACGACCAAACATGATTTGCTATGAGTGATGGCGGTGGGGATGACTTGATGCGAAGTGGTCGCATCTCTGATGTGATGCGGCCCAACAGTTGCAGCGGATGAAGGCTTGCCTTCCTCTTGGGCATGATTTGCTTTAGGTGATGTGTTGCATCTCAGATGTTATTTTGTTTGAACACCCCTTCAGCCTTGTTCGGTCCTGACCTGGACTCAGGTCAGGTTGGGTTGGCCCTGCCTGTTTCGAGCCCTTGTTCAAACCGGAACGTCTTTCTTCCCTCTCAAGAGTCAACCCGCTATACAAGGAGGTTAATTTGTTTAAATAGGGTTAAGAGGCCCTAAGGGTATGGTTCAAATTAGGGCTAATGTGAATCTCATAATGAAGGATTCGAAGAATACAAGAAGAATGGCGATTTTCCCGATTGAATTCTCCTTTCTTAGGCAATTGTCACCTCAACAAAGTCGTTCGCTATAACCATTACATTAACGTAAGCCTCATTTGCGCAATGGAGAAAAGTCAAATTATATAAGGGTGTGAATGTTTTTTTTTTTGGAGGTATCCTTTAACAAAGAACTCTTTCAAATTTTGATGAAGTTTTGCTTTCGTTTCCCACTTTTCATGAAAAAGTTAAAAAATTAATCTTTCAACAAAAGTTCACATTCTTTTGTTAAAAAGTGAAAGATTAAGTTTTCAAATAGGATAGAAACTTAAACTTTCATAACTTTTTTGTGGATCACTATTCATTATACATAATATAAATACATAATATTAATATTATTAATATAATATGTTATAATATAATATTACTATAACATAATGTTATATAATATATAAGAGTAATGATATTATGAAAACCTCCTACACCTATGTAAGTAAAACTTCAAAGGATTACCATTCTTACGTGAGTAGAACATCAAAGGATCACCATTAGATTTTGACACAGATTTCTAGAAAAGTTATGACATGGATGTGGGATTTGGGTGAATGGGTTTATTGAAAACTTTTCTAGAAATCTGTATCAACATTTAATAGTGATCCTTTGGGGTTCTACTCATATAGGTATAGAAAGGTCTCATAGTATAATTACTCATAATATATAAATATCTTATATTATACTATATATATATTATATAATATATAAATATCTTATATTATACTATATATATCTTATATTATACTATATATAATATTTATATTAGGGAAAAGTTTAAATGGAGCCTAGGCTCTAAACAATCAAATTAGAGCCTATCTCAAAATTTTCACTAAAAGAGATTGTTTTGATGCCAAAATATCCTCAGATTGATCATCCTAACATCAAGACGCATGGACTTGAGAAAAATGAATTTCAAGATTTGGAAATAGTGCATCTTGTAACACATTTTTTTGACTGTCAATTTTTAAGTTATTCAATTTTTTATGGATCTATTCGATCTACACTATTTTTTAAGCTTTAAATTTTATAAGTAAAGATGAAAATATATTTTAAGACAAGTCCAAGATTTCCGGTATTGAAACCAGATTTTTCGACAATATTTAAAGGTGGGCTCTAATTTGATTGTTTAGAGCCTCAGCTCTATACAAACCATACCCTTTATATTATATTATATATAATATATAAATATCTTATATTATATTATAATAAATATTATATTTTATGTTACATATAATACAAATATACATTACTGAAAAACATAAAATATATTATATTAAATATTATATTATGTTATATGTTATATATTTATATTTATATGGTTAATGTATGTATATGTTATCAAACACAGTACCCAGAACTTTCTTAGCATTTCAGTAAGTTATCGAACACAGTACCCTGAATTTATGTAAACATTCAAAAACAAAACATTCAACTTTTTAGAAGATATTTTTTAGAAAAACAAATGTACCCTAAATGATAGAATTTAAATTGAAATCTATCCTCTATTTTGATGTCTAAGGTTCTATAAAATATTTGAAAAAGTTGGTTTTATCTTCATCCATTGATTGACAAGCCACTGCATAACCCATTTCATGCAAAACAGTCATTGTATTTAATGATTAGGAGTTAATGCATAATCAGACCATTTAATGAAAAACAAGGTTAACTCAAAGAATAAAATCCTGTAAAAGTGTTCTAATTATTTGAAGTCCTTGAGTGGTATAAATGAGTTCTTAGATCATTAGGAATATAATTTAATTGTCATCAACGGATGCAAACCAAATCTGGGTAATGCTTATGTCATGGTCTGTGTGTGTGGGGGGGGGGGGGAGAGGGGGAGGGGTAGGGGGGGGTAACTCG